AAAAAGCAAACCATGAACTATGAAGAGAGATCTTTAGCCACAGACAGAGCCCTCCAATGGCTCCACACTGGTTGAATTCTAGAAGTATTATTATAATTTGACTGTAACAGAGTTAGCTGGGATGACAAGTTTGAAAGACAAGTGATTAAACGTCCACCACCAGCTGATAATCACAAGGGATGATCTGTCCTAAAACGGTGGAAAATATTACAATTAAATCAACACAGAGATACTAGTCTTTTCTTAACTCAAAAATACGGCAATATTATTTGTTTTAATCAAAACGTTGCACTCCCTGGAGAGTTAATAAAACCACACTAACTATTATTAGTATGTAGGCTGAAGAGGTATTTGGTGCATATCCATAAAGACTGTTCCTGCATTTCTTTCATAGGCCGAATTCACATTGACTTTAGTGGGTGTCTTGCCTGCATAAGGACAAATAGGGTTGTGCTCATTCCATAAATGAAGGTGAGAACTGGAATGAGACAAGCCAGGGCTTTGTGACAATTTGTTCTCTCTAAATTTCTCAAGATGAAAATCAGTTCTGATTCTCCCTTACTATTCGTCTTTTTTATGAGAAAAAGAGAGCTCTTTGGGAGACTACATGGTAGCACTAGCTTTTCTTCATGTTATTGGACCAGTCTGTTGCATTCCAATCTACGGATATGTCTATACTGAGGCTGGGAGAGTGCTTCCCAGCTTGACTAGACAGGATCAAGCTCCCATGCAGGGCCAGCTCTAGCATTTTTGCACCAAAACAAAACAAAAACAAAAATCCGTGATCGGCGGCAGCTCTACCACCGCTTTATTCTACAGTGGCAATTCAGCGGCAGGTCCTTCGCTCCGAGAGGGAGTGATGGCCCCGCCACCGAATGGCCGGACGTGCTGCCCCCCTCTTCATTGGCCGCCCCAGGCACCTGCTTGCTACGCTGGTGCCTGGAGCCGGCCCTGCTCCCATGCTCTAAAAATAGCAGTGTAGCTGGGGTTAACATGGTGGTGGCTCGGGTTAGCCACCCAGGGATGGTGTCCTTAGCCTCTGTTTGCCAGAAGCTGGGAATGGGCAGCAGGGGTTGGATCACTGGATGATTACCTGTTCTGTTAATTCCTTCTGGGGCACCAGGATTGGCCACTGTCGTCAGACAGGATACTGGGCTAGATGGACCTTTAGTCTGACCCAGTAGGGCCGTTCTTAAGTACATACCCCCTAGGGGTCCAGGCGGGTTCGTACTCACAGGGCTAGCCCAAGCAGCCCAACCATGCTACCCCTGGCTACACTGTTATTTTAGTGCATTAGCTCAAGCCAGGCTAGTGCATGTAAGTCTACTTGAGTTGGGAAACATGCTGCCAACTGCAGTGTAGATGTACCTTAAAAGTGTCAAAAGTGAAAGAAAACAATTCAGTAAAGGTTACATCCATCTAGTTCAGCAAACCTGACCCTGACCCATATTGCCATGTGATAGTGGTTTGCTCAGCAATGTCTGTTGCAATGTTCTAGGTTGTTCCAGCTCTGTTCTGTAAAAATAGCATCATGGAGTTCCATGGTTATTTGCTCTTATTGACTCTAGATCACATTTGCCCAGTTTAAAAGTAAAATGCTTTTTGTTCTGACAGCCCCAGAAAGTTCTCCTGGGATCTGGCAGTGGAACTGGGAATCCCTTCGTGCACAGGGAGGATGGTCTTGTGGTTAAGGCACTGGACAGACACTCAAAGTCAGGGTTCAATTCCCAGTTGAGCCACAGACTTCCTTTGTGACTTCAGAAAGGTTACATGGTCCCTCTGTGCCACAGTGCTCAAGCTGCCACAATATTATTTTTCTACCACAGAAGGGTGTTGAGGATAAATTCAGTGATGTTTGTGCTATGCTCAGATATTATGGCAGTGGGGGCCAGGTAAGAACTTTAGACCATGGAGAGCAAGAAAGATTCTTTCCGGAGGCCAAATTGTACACTGCCTCCAGATCTTGTCCTGTGCCTGAGAGAGCCATGCCCAGCTTAATTGTCCTGTCCCAGGTTGAGTCTGCAGCCTGGTAGGTAGAAAAAACATTTATTTACTGGTTAAATGAAAACTGTTGGTCTGGAATGACAGACACACAATAAACAGGGAGCCCCGCGATGTCATTTTCAAAAGAATAGTGCTGTAGGAAGAGGTGATTTAGATCTCCAGCCAAACTGTTCATCCAGTTCTAGTACAGAAGAGGAGGACTGCTCTCTCGTTGTTGGGATGGGGGTTATACATGTAATTCCTATAATCTAAGGGAAGGGGAGTGAGACAGGGAGGTGAAGAGGAATTAAAGGAGTCTGGCTTACTATCCCATGTGATTTTCTTGGTCCTAATGATTAAAATAAGGTCTGTGATCAGAGCTGTCTGAGCCTTTACACAGAGAGTTTCTGAGAGAAGCAGAGCAATTGAGGCATTACTATATCCAGGCTGTATTCAGTAGTGTGAGCAGAGATTGTCATGCTAACGAGCCTCCCGAGTTCTGGAATAGGGGCAGGTAGAGGAAGCAGGCTTCCAACATTGAGATGGAGCTGGAAGGGTCACTGTGATCAGACCAAGCACTCACCCTTTCTCAAGGCGGTTAAGCAATCCGTTTTCAGAGTGCTGCCACCGTCCTAAAAGGTTCCAGTTCCAACCCATAGTAGATCTCAACCACAGCTGTGGCAGAACAGAGCACAATACAGTGGAAACTAGTGAAAGAATTTCTTGGCTATAAACTCTCAGCCTCAAAAAAAGGGGGATATGTGACTGGCAGTTTAAGCCTTGTTTATAGCTGCTGAATGTCCAGCTGTTCTTGGGAAAGGCATTGGAGGTGACACCCATAGCTAAAGAGTTCCCCAGCAAGTCCATGACAAATAATCTGATTGGTGAAACAAAATCAAATTGGCCGGGGGTGGGAGGAAATTTGAACAGAATTGAGATGCTAATCACTGCTGCCCTGCCCCAAAAGGTCACAATGCGGTGGCTAGGACATGCATGTGTTGCATGAAATTACCTTTTGAAAAAGGGCATTGGATGCCTGGCAAGCGTGCACACAACATTGATACACGGCATTGTATTTTGCAAACATAGCCTGAGCATACGGTGAGCTCAGACTGATCTGACACAAGAACCAATGACCCAATATACCGCCGCCTTGTCTTGAGTCATTCTATCAGAGGCAATAAGTGACTTCATGGTGCTTGGCAAACTGACTGTAGCACCATTATCTGACAGAGAATTCACCAGAATGAATAGCAACAACACTGCCTATGGCTGGAGAGAATGACTTATATGGAAAGAAAGATCAAATATGCATATAAAAACAATCACAGAAGGTGGGGGGAGGGGGAGACGTATCCGGTAACATGTTACAAATAATTAAAGGGTGCAAGCAACTGAAGGGAGAGGAATGATTTAGGCTGCTACAAAAGGATAGATAACTAAGCAAAAGTAACATTAGACTGAAGATCTGGAAAATCATTGTAGTAGTTAGATTTCTAAGAGTGTAGAATGGCTTTCTTAAGGAAGCTGTGAATATCACTTGAGACAAACAACTAGAAACTGTATTCTGTGGGGAGCAATTCTGCCTTCATCAGGAGCAGAGGGAGTGGAGGATGGCTTTACTAGGTCTGTCCCATCTCTATTCTCTGTAGGGCTGAGAGAGCCAGTCTTTACCCACGGCCTTGACGGTTTTTTTCCCCCTTAATTAATTGTTAATTGGCTTCAATAATCCTGGGGCAGTTCAGTGACCTCTCTGTGGCTCATTATGTCAGAAGCACAATTGTGGCCAGTGATCTTAGGTCAGAGGCCTCATTGGAATGGTGGACTGTCTGCAGAGCTTTCCTGTGTAGTCTCATTCCCACTCAGAATGTGGGGACTTGATACAATAATCGAAGCGCCAGTAACTCTGGACTTCCAAATCTCACCTCTGTTGTTTTGGGCAAGTCCCTTAACCCATCTCTGCCTCCGTTTCCCAATATGTAAAGTGGGGATAATGTTATTTATTTGAAGGGTTTGTGAGAATGAATTTGTTAATGTTTGTAAAAGACTTGAAAGTTGGAATGTGCTGTTTGTATGTCCTGTGCATCCATCAGAGATAATCACCAGTTTAAGGGCATGATCTACCATGAGATTTTAAGTAGTCCTCATTGAAAATCCCAAACAATGACATCTGCTTTAAAGTTTAATGTCCTGGTAATGGTGGCCATCATGTTTAACTTTGGAAGAAGGTTTCTGGAGCACAGTCATAAATATTATTCATGTTTGTGGATGTTTGGAAGGATCTCCCTTTCGGAAATGTGGTGCATTGGAGTAAAATGCTAAATGATGTCATTATCCACTAGATGTTTCTAATGCATCAGTAAAAAGAGCCTGTATGTTGTGAAATAAAGTATTATTTCCCCTTCTCTCTCTCCTCCTGTGCCACTAGTTTGGAAGCTCATATTCATTATTCTATTTTGCCCACAAGTAGAGCTGCATGCAATATTCATGGGAAAACCTGATAGCACCATTTGAAACTCTCCTGGATAGGAAGCCAGGCAAAGCTTTGACCAGGGATATACCTGACCTACACAATTTGGATCCAGACTTCAAACCTCCCAAAATTCAGAATGTGAGTTGTAGCTGGGTCTGGCTTTTTAGTTAGGCTCATTATAGATAAAGAGAGGAGCCAGTCATGAAATCCAGCTCTGGGTTTGGATTATATGAAACCATCCCCAATTTAAATTATCGGCAAAACTTGCATTGTCTTTAGTGGTCCAGACTCTGGCATTGAACGTCTGTGCAGTGTCAGCTTTGGGCCACTGTGGTCAGGGGTTAGTGAACTGACCAGTCTGTATAGTTTTCAAATGGCTGGTAACATCCCTCCTAGCAGAGACCCCTTTATGGCAGATTGGTTAGCTATGTGTAATTAATGCCACTAAAATCAACTCAGTGGTGATTTAGAGACTTCTACTAAATGAATAAAGTTTCTGCCGTGTGTTAGCTTTTCTGGTCACTGGCATGTTGTTGCTTTGCAGGCCTTCGGAAGGTAATGGTGAGAGCCCACCGGCAGGCGTGGTGCTGGCAGGATGAATGGTATGGGCTCACCATCGAGGATATCCGGCAGCTCGAGAAGGAGGCACAGCTGATGCTGGCTCAGAAGATGGCCCAGTTCAGCTACAGTGAAAGTGAGGCAGAGCAGCATGGAGCAAAAGACTCCCCAGGCAAGAATGATGCTGAAAGCAACGCCATGTCCTCCGTCGACGCAGCAGACGCTGCTAGTAATATTGGTGAAGCCGTGTCTGGGAGAGGGATAACCAAGCAATGGTCCACGTCTTCCAAATCCTCGCGATCTTCAAAAAGAGGAGGTGAGATGTTTGTAATGGGATTAATTGCGTTGGGAAAAAAACATACAACTCTTGCCTTGGTTCAAGCATAAAGTGTGCTGATGTAACACGCTGGGTAAGTGTGATCATGTCTCACTTCAGTGGCTAGCCCATACAATGGGTCAGAGCTTATTTATTGCTACCAGCTAACTGACTCACTTCTTTAGCCTGTGCATTTGGTGTGAAAGTCCCCTCTGGTGGAGCTGTGTTGAGGGTTATGCCCATGCTGCAACAGCGGCTCCTGAAATGACATTGCCATGAATTCCGTCGAAGTTAAATAAATTACAAAAAGGGGAAATGAGGAAAGGCAGTGAGAGCTGGTGGCAGTGATTGTTGTCAAAAGAAAACAAGCAGGGCACCATGGGGGGGGGGGGATTAGTCCCTGTTGTTAGTAACATGGACATTTTTATAAGGTTTAATTCCTCAGGCGATGTTCTCTCTCTGGACATGTGCCTGTCTGATGTGAAATGCTAGATGCAGAGAGAGAGAGTCACTGAATAGGCCTTGATCTGATTAATTGTTAGAGTCCATGTCTCCTGCTTTGGATTTCTCTGAAATACAGTTAAAGTGACAGGCATAATCCTCCCTGGTCAGCGATAAATGTTACTGCTTGTCGTTCATTTCTAAGGAGGGGGTTGGCTCCCAGGCTGCTGCAATGTAGTTTGCACAGCTAAGCACCATAATTGGCCTTTTGGGAAAATAATGCAGGTCACCACTGTCGGTGAAGAGAGAGATGAATGACAGCTGTTGCATTTTGCTGCTGTTAATGTCCTCTAACCATCATCCATGGCTAAGGAGATCAGATGCCACTATGGATCATGTTTGTATTTCCTTTTAAATGCCATGCAGGAAAAAATGTCCAAGAGGCTCCAATGAACCTCATTGAAGGACTCACTTCAGACCCAGGAATCTCCCCTGTGCAGTAGGAAGTCACATTATCTCAAGTATCCTTTACTGTACACTCCTCATTTTCTTGACCCACTCTTTGGAAAAGATGACTCGTGACATCTTTAGTCAGTGTTTCCGTCAGGCACAAGTCACATCAAAGACAGTGGAAGGTTTACAGTAGCAAAAAAGTTGTGTGTGTTTTGCAGTAGGGTAGCTATCTCACTGTAAACTCCGAGGATGAAAAGGTGGCCTATTGAAGTCCTTGGGGCCAGAATTCATCCCTTTGATGTAATTGGGCGAAGTGAACCACATTGAACAACCTACAGTTCTTCTTCA